ACATCTACCTATATTTAGGTTCAAACAGTTTAATGTACACCACTGCTGAAATTCATTTAGATCGAGCTAAAGACGATTACAATCTGAGAGATCACGCACTACTGAAAAAGCTTAACATCATCTGCAAACGTCAGGCAGTTTGCAAAATTAAAACAGTTAGGCAATTCATTTATAAATAGAATAAACAAGAGTGGTCCACAATGCGTGCCCTGTGGTATGCCCGACCATGCATTAACTGTCACTTGAGATGTTGTTGGCCCAATTTTCACAAGTAACTTTCTTTGCGTTAGACCCTCTTCTGTTCGCCCATCCATCAGCGCCAGGGACTCAAATTTTAATTAAAGTAGGAAGTAACAATATTTAAATTTAAAACAAATTTAATAATGAAATAAGTAGAATTATAATCTGAATTGGCATGGCGAATGCCTAACGCTGACGAGATGTCATGATAAGATTAGTAGCCTCATGACTCTTATGGGCAGTAGCCGCCGATTATTTTTGAAGTTGACCACGCCGCCGCCGGAAACAAAAGTTCCGAAGTTAATATCGAATCCGATTGTGTAAAAAAAGGAACAAACCTCCAATCTGTCAACTTTGTTTTGAAGTGTGTCAATTTCATTTGGATAAATAAAACCGAGAAAGTAAACATGAGTTCAATTGTTTTATTGGTGGTTTGCCTGAATAATGAGCAGCAAACATCTGAAAAAGTGAAGCGAAAAATTTTGCGCGATCACAGCAATCCCATGGAATTACCGGACTCAGCGTTAGTAGTATAAAAACTATACTATACTAACGCCATTTCAAACTATTAATTTATATTTTACAGCTTTATTGCACTCTATAGAATAAATAAACAAGCGTTCCTCATGATTTTGACAGACCTGCAGCCTGTTGTACAAAGCTCCATTCCCGCAGTGTTGAAATTGGCAGCAACGCTGCGATTCCTCACCGAAGCCTCGCTTTGGGAAGGAGCACCGTCTCCAAGATAATTTCAGAAATAATTACGCTCATGGAGCGGAGACATTGCTCAAAGTGGATAAAATTGTTCATGCCTTAGCAAGAGAAAAGAGCCGCCGAAAGTTCTTTCTACGAACAATTTGGTATTCCGGGTGTGATTGGATGTATTGACGGCACGCACATCAAGCTATTGCAACCACATTTTTTTTTAACCCAAAAGGAAATTTTAGCATTAATTCAATGGTTGTTATTTGCCACAATTACTGGATTTTATATGGAAAAGTGTTTTCGTAAAATTTGTTTCTTATTTATTTCAGATTTGCGATCATAATATGGTTATTAGAGCTATTGATGCTTTTCATCCCGGTTCTAGCCATGACTCCTTTTTATGGAGCATGAGCAATGCAAGACAGTTAGTCATGACGAAGTATCGAGATGGTGATCACAATTCGTGGTTATTGGGCGATGCCGGGTATGCTCTGGAACCTTTTCTATTAACACCATATAGAAAACCAGAACCACGGTCTATACAACACGCGTTTAACAAAACACTTTCTTCGGCACGTACTATAGTTGAACGAACAATTGGGGTTCTTAAAACTCGTTTTCGTTGTTTATTAGGAACCTTGCAGTACAAACCAAAAAAGGTTGTGAAAATAATTAATGTATGTGTTGACTTGCATAATATTTGTCGCCACTATAATCTTGAATATGACTATGATGAACCTGAAGACAACGCCAGCGAAGTAGATAGGTTTTGCACTAACAGACATTAACTTTCAAAGTGAAGCACAAAGAATTAGAGACGAAACTGCGAATAATATTATATAATATTTTTATAAAAACAAGTATATTTAATAAAAACCAGTACTGTAATTATAAATAAACAATTTTCACAAAAAACTAAACATTTTAAGACCTCAAGAGCCACTTTGTCTCCTTTGAAGAAGCCTTTGGCTATGTCTGGATTTACTTCCATGAAATCCAGCATATTTTTGCTTTGCTCCGCCGTCTTGTGCTTACCCCTGCATTTTAATAATTTTAATTGTAGTAACTACCACTTTTATTTTCTCTACTTAAATTCTTTGCTGTTCGCTGACTATAAAATTTTTACTTTGACCGTTAACAGCTATATTTTTCTTTTTCGTTTTGATTATTTTCTATTCCACTGGCTTTTAGCTGATCGGAACATTTCCGATAAAAAATTTTCGATAATCGGAAAGCAGAATATCAAATTTCCGATAGAATTCCGATTCGAAGTGGATCGAAATGTAGAACAAGGCGGAATCGGAAATAATTTCCGATTGTCGGAATGCAGAACACCAACAATCGGAAACAAATCCGATTCCGATTCGATTCGGATTGCAGAACAGGGCTGGATGACGAAGTGATTTTGTATGGAATATCATTTATGCCCATATATTTGAATAAAATAAACATAATTAGAAGATATCAACCAATACTTCCCATATACCAAACGAAAGGAAAACACCTGAATTTTTGATTAAAGAAAACAAAAACAAAATCGAGCATTTTGGTAATAAAAAAATTGCAAATTTTTTTTTAACAATTTTTGTCCTCAAAATGCTCAATATTGGTTGAATTTATATAAAATTTCTACACGATAATATTTCAATGGCTCCATGGAACCTTTATCCCGAAATTGAAAGTTATATCTGCAAATCATAAGTTGCTAGAACACATTTAAAGGCTCAAAATGTACCCCAATATTTGCCGTTAGTTCTACGACAGTAACGGAATTAGTTACTTACAAAAATAAATCTGTCGATAGGTTTAGAATTTTATCTTTGAAACGGCACACTTTTCTTTGAAATCAATTTACTAGTTCTCGTGCAATAAGCGTTTCGTGAAACTCTAAAAATTACAGCTACATTTCAGCATAGCCTCCATATCGAAACGTAAGATGTATTCTACGTCATAAAAATGAAAATTTGGTCATTGAAAACTGGTGTAATTGCGTTGAAAATTACCGGCATTAGTTGCGTTTTTTTACTCATTTCCAGTAAAATCCAGTAAAAGTTTTTACGAATTTTCATGTTTTGGCGTTTTCGTACGCAAAAACTTGCAAAGTAGGGGAAATTGAAAGAGCGAAAAATGACAGTTGAAGTTGCAAGTTTTTACTGGATAAATTTTTACTTGTAAGAGCCAATTTACACGATGACCTTTCACCCTGGGTGGAAAGTCATGCGTGTCGAGCTTGTAGGCAAGAAGTGTAGCGAAGTCAGCGGGGTAGGCAAGCTCGCACGGTGTGCGAAATCGAGGGTTTTTTTTTGACGTTTCGCTTTTATCGAGTTCACTTTTTCGTATTTTTGCTTTGAGTTCGTGATTCGCTCCGCTTTAAAAATGAGGACGAAAGAGTTGACCAAAGAAAATTTTACGCGTAAATGTCAAAAAATACGCAAGAAACGCCGCAAAGAAAAAGTCATCGTGTAAATGCACGAGGATTTTCGAAGACTTTTTTAAAAGGGAACGTGCCAAAAACGCAGGGTGAAAAGTCGTCGTGTAAATTGGCTCTAAGAATTTGCCAGTACGAAAAACAGCTGATCGCATGTTGCTGGATGAAATTTAAACTAATAAGGAAACTGTTTGTGCGTTTTTATTGTTGAATTTCACAAAATAAACCTATTTAAATACAAAATATATTGTTTTATTAGGAATTTGCTGGGAATAAACAACCAATTTATCAGCTGTTCATGAAACTTGCAAATTATTGCTGGAAAAGCGTTCACGTACTTCCTCGTTGTGTTTTTTTTTTTTTTAATTATCCAGTAACTTGCCAGCAACTCTCCAGTAACTTTATTTCTAAGAATTCGCTCTCATAGAAAAAATTTGCAATAAAGTACGTGAACGCTTTTCCAGTGATAATTTGCAAGTTTCATGAACAGCTGATAAATTGGTTGTTTATTCGCAGCAAATTCCTAATAAAACAATATATTTTGTATTTAAATAGTTTATTTTGTGAAATTCAACTATAAAAACCCACAAACAGTTTCCTTATTAGTTTAAATTTCATCCAGAAACATGCGATCAGCTGTTTTTCGTACTGGCAAATTCTTACAAGTAAAAGGTGCAATCCCGTATTCCTCGGACTCGGACTAGTAAAACTGTCAAAAAATAAAAATTCGCTCAGAGCGAGAGAGTAACATTGAAAAGTACGGGATCGCTTTCTAGTAAAAAATGGTAACTTCTGTCAACTTCAACATAACCTCCAAATTTTGGTTGTAAATTTTTGCTTATTTTGTATGTAAACACACTCAGCTCACACATGTAAATAACCAAAAATACTTTCAAATTCATTAGAATCCACTTAAACAAGTAATTAAATACTTGTCAACATGAATTAGCAGAGTGCACTTTTCTTTTGTTTACAATTTGGTTGCCAAACACACTACAGCTGATCGTTTGACACATTTACCAGAATTTACCAGCAAAAAATTCTCGGACTAAAACTGGTAACTTCTGACAGAGAGAGAACCGTATTTACTCTCTTTTTTGTCCTCTCAATAGTCAGAGAGCCGTGTACGGGATCGATTTCCAGTAAAATCTGACTGATTCTGATTATTTCTGACTAGTCCGGACTCGTACGGGATCGCAACTAAAAATTTATCCAGTAAAATCCAGTTAAAACTTGCAACCTCAACTGTCATTTTTCGCTCTCTCAATTTCTCCTACTTTGCAAGTTTTTGCGTACGAAAACGCCAAAACATGAAAATTCGTAAAAACTTTCACTGGATTTTACTGGAAATGAGTAAAAAAAACACAACTATTAATAGCCCAATCCTGTATCGATGACAAAACTTTTGTAACTGACAAATTTAATAATTTTTCATATATTTTTGGAAAAAAACCACAAGTATTTGTCACTGCTACAGAATAGAGCCACAAGCCTATTCTCACATGACGTCAGCTTAAGGGTAGACACTTTTTCTTCATTTCAATACCTGGTGGAAATTTGACATTGTTTTTTGTTAACCCAAAGGCAAATCTTTAAAAGTTTAATTTTATGAAAATGCTACAAATATTGTGTATCAATTTCTGTGATTATTACTATCCGCACAGAAATACAATGTTTAAAAGGTACTTAATTTATATATGTACATGGATTTGGTATATACCAGCATGCGTATATATGTACAATCACCTTACATTAGGCTTTTCAGTACGGTGTTCTAAACTATTAAGCCTTAACTTATCAAAATACTTAAAATTTAAACAAGCTTAGTATAGTTTCAAATTATTTTATTTGCTATAACGAACGATTCCGTGTTCCGGTATTGAACTATTGTAAAACGTTTTAAGAGCCAAAGCGCCACCAAAACCCGCTTATTTTAGATGATTAACTTTAAAGCAACTGTGAATTATCCTTTATTATACATGGTTGCGTTGCATATTCGCGTCTACTCGGCTCTTTGAAGGTGTATGGCCAATTGTGGTTGGTGAACTGATCAAAGTAACTCCAATAGGACTTGGTATTTGGTTTTCTTTGCCACTGTTTATTCTATTACATTTCATTTTTTCGATGAGGTTACCACGCGTAGAGTTAAAATTACGTACATTACTCTGCTTTCTTGGTGGTGTATTTAAGAAAACGCCTTCGAATATTGTCTCAAGACTGTTGCATAGGCTGATATCTGTTTTGCTATTTTCCACATCCACGGGCGAACTTATTTTTGCATTGATTTCTTTCAGAGTCACAAAATCTGAGCTTGTGCAGGCACTTGGAGTAGAATCATCGTCGAATAGCGTCGCCCTGGTTGGTGTTTGCAAATCTTCCGGATTTGTGTCTATCGGAGAGGGTGTGCGCCCCAAGGGAGAAATAAGTCGAATTTCGAACGCTGGAAGCTCATCACCTAGAACAAGTGCGTCCAATTCCCGCTCAATAGATAAAGAAAAGGATAAATCACTTTCACTGGACACAGACGATTGCGACGACTGCAGGCGGGATGTGTTTATTTCAGGCGCCGACATGTCTTTACTACTATCGTACAGCCGTCCATCATTTTCAAAGACTGATGTGGTAGTCATTAAAGAGTATTTCACTATTGCAAGTATATATTAGGAATACATCAGAAGATATTTCCGCTTATAATCCAAAAGTTCTCGAATCAAATCATTGCTTTGAAAAAGTAAAGTGTTTACCACAGTATAGACCACAGCTCAGTATCTCAGTATATCCAGTAAAAAAACTGTGGTGAAGTCCTTTATGGGGATAAAGTTTCCAGAGGTGAAATTTTAGGTAGCACACAATTTCTTACACGCATGGTTGCTTTTCAGCACTCATGAAAGAAACTTAAGAAATATTTGAAAAAAAAGTTCATATAGTACATTAATTTTTGAAAGAAATACCATATAATGTATGTACTCTGGTTAATAATATCAAAAAATGTTTTAGAACCACCGTTTAATGTTATATTTGATACAAAGGGCCTGTGCCAATTGATAGTGTTACGATTACGTATCGCTGGATTGTTAAATAAATGTTCGAAGAATGACGTAGAATGTTCCACAAAGAGAAACGTCAAGTTGGATGAACACTGCGAACAGCGAGAGAAAGAGAATGAGCGATAAACTTCAGAATGTTCTAGAGTTGCCATAAGTGCCAGCGCCGGTATATAAGGGCGCCGCCACCGCGAGGTGAGTGAGTTACAAGTCAGCAAGCTACAAGTAAAGTGAGCGGAGAATCGAGTTGCGAATAAACAAGCTATAAGTTTAATTGTGTTAACAAGTAGTAAAGCGTTGTTATTGCTTTAACAAGTATTGTAAAGTGTTTTTACTGTATTAGCAAGTATTGTAAATTGTTTGTTGTACAATAAATTTAATTGTACTACAATTCGGTCATCGTTAGCATTTATTTAACAATCCAGCGATACGAGCCCGAGTATATTTGGGAAATCCCTCAAGGTTTCGAGGATAATCGTAACAATTGGGGTGTTCACAGTTCGTTCCAAATAGTGTCTCAAAATGTAGACGTCTACATTTTAAGACGTTTTCTAACCGTAAAATCTGTGGTGTTGTTGTTTCCCATACAAAATTGGAAAACGACGCCGTCTACATTTTGTCACACTCAAAGGTATGTTTTTTACGCGTCTACATTTTGCAACCTCGCAGCAGGGTTGCATTATGGCAATACTAATCACATTTTTTTTATTTATTGGGCACGTTTTCCGTATTTGCATTTAATTTCAGCGTAATTTCTGATGAAAAGAAACAAATCAAGGAAAAGGAATAACAAATATTACGAATTGGTAATTAAGTTAAATAATTACAATTTTTCAGAAACAAAATCGAAAGGCGACATATAAACAATGCACGCAAACAAGAAATGTCTGGCAACACCAGCAAAGATTTGAGACGATTTTGCGACGACTGCTAGAAAGGGGTGCTCACAGTTTGATGCTAAAAATGTCTCAAAATGTAGACGTCTACATTTTCAGACACAATTTGGAACGAACTGTGAACACCCCAAATAGAAAAGTTCTCTGGATAGTAAATTTTTGACAGCTATGAGGTGAATAAAAATGTTGGATACGGCAGGGCTAGTGAAAAATTTGACAGCAAGCATTATCAAGAAGAAGAACGAACAACGCACGTATACACATAAATTAAAGAAAACAAAAGCGAGTGGAAATAAAAGAACATGATCCCGCCGGCAAAAAAAATAAAGAAAAGCTATATAACTTGTAAGATTTAATTTCAGATTTACATATGAAAAGGCGTTATGTATTTTTTTAATTAAAAATACTATTTTACAGGGAGCAGTTCAGAACGAAGAATCCTTATGGAAAAGCGCATTGACAAGGATGTTTGGTTCAGTTCAAAGAACGCCAACAGCAACGAAGGCTGGAAGTGAGTAAGAACAATATAAATAATTTGAAGACTTTAGCAAATGACTTCGTACTCCACTGACCATCCGTGGCGCTTTTTGGGAATGTGAGTTACAATTTTTCGAAACGAAGCAGAGGACAACCTAATGCAGCGTTTTAGCTGCATTTAAAATGCAACATTTAGCACTTTCGAACATATTTTTTCGAAGAGCGTTCATGCTATCGCATATAGCAAATGTACATTTACGCGAGTTCGAAGCCGTATGCTTTTGACAAACGGCCGTGTTCCTGTCACTTTTTCAGATCCGTATCTGTCACGATCAATTCGCACAGAGAAGATAATGTGCAAAAAACCCTACTGAAAAGGGAAAAAGAAATTTTAAACAAAACGTTCAATACAAAAACTTGAATTGTTTAAACCATACCCGAAAATTTGTTTGTGTATATTTTCATTTGTCGGCCCTGCCAGCCAAAAGTGGTGACAAATCTGGTGAAACCGCGGGTTTCGGTCACTTCAAAACTGGTGACATTTGTATGGGCGGTGTGCAGATTGTCACCACTTTCCCCCTGTACGTGTGAGCCTTGCATCACAGTCGCACTCATTCAGATACTTCGTAAGGAAAACATATAGCTGCACTCGTCTAGCATTGCCCACTTCAGCTGGCGCAGGGTTGCATTCTCTTCACAGCGAATTCAAAATAACCTTAAAAACTTTAAATAAAAAATCTTAAAATTTGTTTTGATTTTTATTTTGCAAAATTTATTTTTCAAAATACATTGTTAACCTAATATAAATAGTTAGTAATCAATATTAAGAATAAAAATTACAATTAACATTAATAATAAAGATATTTTTACATACATATGTGGTTGCTTAATTGCTTATTATTACTACTACTCGTTTGCATATAGCTGTTTTCAAAAGTTGCAAAATTTCTATAAAAAATTTAAGCGATTTTAACAGTATTATAATCAAAAGAAAGGTAATCGATTTATCTTTCTTTTGATATATATTAAAAGTTGCAAATCATTTATAATGGTTCACAAAAATTCAGTTTCATTACAATTTTGCAAAATTTTATTGCGTTTTTCCGACTTATATATAGACGCTTTCAAAAGTTGCAAAATTTCTATAAAAAAGTTAATCGATTTTAACAATGTTATAATCAAAAGAAAGGTAATCGATTTACCTT